GTTCGCTTCGGTCGGTCAGGTCGTCTACGCTGGGGGCGTTTGGGCCACCCATTCCGGGTCCTCGTTTTTGAGACCACCACCCCCGACGAATGATCGAAGTTCGACTTGGTTTTCAGAGTTGGCATACACCCGCCCCCCCGTCAGATTGAGCATTCGCCCAGGCGGCGCCAAGCCCGCGAAGCTCTTGGTCAACGTCAAGCAGTTCATCAGCGCCGACACGATGGGAGACCGTACACTGAACCAGTTCACCAGCCTGGTCTACGGCCGCTGCAAAACCCTGGCGAAATCGGAGGGGTTGTACAAGTCTGACATCGTCACGGCCGCTCGTCAGGGGTATCATGCAGCGCAAGCGTTCTGGGAGAAGCACCACCTCTGAGTTGGCTCGTGCGCGTGGGCGCGTAGACAGCTGGCCTTTGCATGACTGTGGGCGTTTCTGCAACGCGTCAGCTTCGAGTACCCAGTTTCGGTTGTATATTGCATGCCACGTGACTGCTTATGCTGGCGCGCGCGCACGGTGAGCGAGTGCCCCCTCGCCGACAACAGCAATAGCAGCAGAACCAGTGACGACCGCCACCGTGGAGTCGAAATCATCAGGTTCCGATGTGTGGTGAGGGGCGAAGGCACTGTTCGCCTTCCTACTATTGTCCTCCTCATCCTCATCCTCATCCTATCCTTCCACTCACCCGTGTCCTCCTCAACCTATTCACTCTCTTGTCCTACTCTATTCTCTCGGGCACCTTCCTGCTCTTCCTCCCGTTCACCCTCCCCCGCCGTATCCTACCGACGTCTGGGGGGCAGTGTTGAGATGATCTCTGTTTGCGTCCTCCTCCGATGCCGCGCCCCAGCAAAGCTCGAGCGCGGGTCGCGACGAGGACGCAACATATGATCGTCTCAAAATTGCCCCCCATTCGTCGTTAGGACAGGGCGCCCTCAGAAGAGCAGCTGTGATTTCTGAGATGTTGAGATCCGACCAATCTGGCCCAAAATACGTATTGACCCAAGCTGCAAGTAAACTGTCTATGATTGGGGATAGTGTTATACTGCGCCACATGTCATTAACACTCGCCTGTCCTGCTTCATCCGTCCTCCCAGCCATTGGGGCTCAAGGCCACGTTTTCCTCCTGAGAATTCGCCAGCGTTAGCTGGCGCTCGGGGCTCAGACAGGATATATGTGTCTGGAACATGGAACCACGCACAAAGCGTGCTAGGTTGTTGGCCCTTGGAAAGAAATCCCACATCACAGGGACAGCGCTGGCCACGCTCCTCAGGCAGCTTGCCGAAGAGGAGATCCCTGAACACTTTTCAAGGAAGACGCAGCAGCGCCAGAAGGAGGCCATAGTGTTCCAAGAGACTTCGTTCGGGAGGCTGCTTCAGTGTGAGAAGATCGATGGTGAGACGGACGCGGGAAGGCCATGCCAAATAAACCTCTGGGTGCAACACCCATTTGCTTTCCTTGAGGTAGCGGCCAAGCGCTCGATCAGCTTCGCCAGGTTTCTTGCTGCTACGTGGGAGGCATCGTCCAACGAGATGAGCCTCGTCTTCTACACAGACGAGGTGACACCTGGCAACCCGCTGGCGGAATCAAACGAACGAAAAATACAAGCCGTCTACTGGACATGGACACAAATAGGCTATCTTGGGCTGAGCAGTGAAGACCTCTGGTTCACGCTAGCAGTGATTCGAACCAGCGAGGTTGCGAAGGTCAAAGGGGGCATGAGCGCAATCTGCAAGCACTTGCTAAAGTATTTCTTAGGCAGACCTTCGAGTAGGGACCTACGGGACGGCATCCTGTTCCACGTCCCCAACGAGGCTGCCTCTCGCGTATTGCACGGCGAGTTGTCCTGCATGGTGCAGGACGAGCGGGCCCACAAATTCGCAGTACACTGCAAAGGCAGCGGGGGCCACACAATATGCGTTCTTTGCCGCAACGTCGTCGCTGACAAATCAGCATGGCTTCCCGACGCGTAGGGCTTCTTGGTGCCTGGGAGTTGCCTGGATGTTAGGCGCTTTGTTGAGCACACCGACAGTAGCCTCGCAGGTGTGCAAGCGTTGCTGCTCAAGCGTTCGCAGGAGGGTGTAACTAAAGGAGAATTCGAACTTCTGGAGCAGCAGATGGGATTCATCTTTGAACCAGCCTCGTTGCTGCAAGACTTGGAGTTGGGAGTGAAGCTTCGGAGCATTTGGTGCTGGGACTGGCTACACGTATATCTCTCTTCGGGCATCTTTAGTGAAGAAGTCAAGGAGCTATTATCGTTGCTTTATCGATACAACCTTGGTGGGAACGTGCTCAACAGTTATTTGGAACGATGGCAGTGGCCGAAGGGTTACGCATCAGGCTCCCAGCTGTGCAAAAAAGGATCGCATCAACCTTCTGGCCAAGCCAGTGTTTTCTTAAGCGCTGCACCCGTTCTTCGCCATTGGTTGAAAGAGGTTGTGGTGGCAAAGGGGATTCTCAAGCTATATTGTGAAAGTCTCATGAAAGCGTGTGACGTGCTGGATCTCTTACAGATCTCCAACAGCGGGCTGGTATCGCCGATTGATCTCGGCCGCGATATAGTGAGTCATTTAACCCTCCAACAATCTGCATGGGGGTTGCAGCTCTGGCGGCCGAAATCTCATTGGGCAATGCATTTACCAAAGCAGCTGCTAATTCACGGCCAGCTCATCAGTTGCTTCTTGGCTGAGCGTAAACACCGCATGGTGAAACGATACGCAGACCCGAGGCACACGACAGTTAGCTACGAGAAGGGGCTGTTGACAGACATTACAATCCATCATCTTTTCGAGCTGGACGACCTTGCTGTCGTGGAGAGCGGTCTGGAAGACCCACGCCCTGCGAGCCCGAAGATGCTTGCAGCACTCTCTGGCCATCTCTTTGTAGACCCTGCAGATGTGCAGACATCTAGGAAAGCTTTCGTGCGGTGCCGTGCTGTGTGTATGGGTGATATCGTAGCCTTCGTCTCAGGCGGTGCCATCACTTTCGGTGAAGTATTCTTCCACTGCAAGGTGTCAGGACACTTGTGGTCGTGTATTGGCTGTTGGCAGGTTCGGGAGATGATGGATGCTTCTGCTAAGTGCTTGGTCGTGGATGCACCTGCTATGGTGCAGACGTGTCACATCATAGAGCCATGCATTGCGTTCAAAGCATCCCCTGGACACGTTTCAACCGTGATTTTCCCTCCGAGGTTGAGAGCGCGATCCCAGTTGATCACATGATGCACGAACACCATGGGACATCAAGGGTGGGAGGGAAGTCAGACATCATAGGCCATCAAGGGTGGGAGGGAAGTGAACAACCTCGATGCGCTGTTTTTACAGATGGCTCACCTTGCCTATAGATCGCTCGCGCTTCGCGCCAGGCATCCACTGACAAAAAAAAAAACATGTTGCTCGATGTGTCACGGAACAGTTGACTACAGTTTTGATATTTCGGGCTCGGGGGTTCGGCCGAAGAGCTAGGAAACCTCAGAAAATCCCTCCGAAGATATCCTAGGATCCCCAAGGGTTCCCCAAAAATCCTAACCGCAACCCGTGTTTTAAGTCCTTTAACTAAGGATAGGCACGACGAGCTAAGTAGCTTAGCGAGGTTACGTTATCCTCCGCCAGTGTGGTTTGTATCCTAGATACCCCAAGCGGGCGCTAACCCAGAAAGCTAAACCCAGCAAGCCAAATCTAACCCCACTATCCACTTATAACCACACCCGCCCCTCCCAGTGGGCATCCCCCCCGGGGCCCGTTTTGTGAGGATGTCTCAGGCGAGGGCGCCGGTTTGGGATTCGTCACCGGACCCAGCGGATCCAGCGGATCCGTCCGGAAACGGTGCCGGAGGCCGCTCTGGGCTCCTCTGGGCATCCCCCCCGGGGCCCGTTTTGTGAGGATGTCTCAGGCGAGGGCGCCGGTTTGGGATTCGTCACCGGATCCAGCGGATCCAGCGGATCCGTCCGGAAACGGTGCCGGAGGCCGCTCTGGGCTCCTCTGGGCATCCCCCCCGGGGCCCGTTTTGTGAGGATGTCTCAGGCGAGGGCGCCGGTTTGGGATTCGTCACCGGATCCAGCGGATCCAGCGGATCCGTCCGGAAACGGTGCCGGAGGCCGCTCTGGGCTCCTCTGGGCATCCCCCCCGGGGCCCGTTTTGTGAGGATGTCTCAGGCGAGGGCGCCGGTTTGGGATTCGTCACCGGATCCAGCGGATCCAGCGGATCCAGCGGATCCGTCCGGAAACGGTGCCGGAGGCCGCTCTGGGCTCCTCTGGGCATCCCCCCCGGGGCCCGTTTTGTGAGGATGTCTCAGGCGAGGGCGCCGGTTTGGGATTCGTCATCCAGCGGATCCAGCGGATCCGTCCGGAAACGGTGCCGGAGGCCGCTCTGGGCTCCTCTGGGCATCCCCCCCGGGGCCCGTTTTGTGAGGATGTCTCAGGCGAGGGCGCCGGTTTGGGATTCGTCACCGGATCCAGCGGATCCAGCGGATCCGTCCGGAAACGGTGCCGGAGGCCGCTCTGGGCTCCTCTGGGCATCCCCCCCGGGGCCCGTTTTGTGAGGATGTCTCAGGCGAGGGCGCCGGTTTGGGATTCGTCACCGGATCCAGCGGATCCAGCGGATCCGTCCGGAAACGGTGCCGGAGGCCGCTCTGGGCTCCTCTGGGCATCCCCCCCGGGGCCCGTTTTGTGAGGATGTCTCAGGCGAGGGCGCCGGTTTGGGATTCGTCACCGGATCCAGCGGATCCAGCGGATCCGTCCGGAAACGGTGCCGGAGGCCGCTCTGGGCTTGTGCTCTTCGCGCCGGGGGTGAGGATGACGTGAGTTCCACAGAAACTCCCTCAAATTACTCGCCTTCCTCCTCCTCCTCCTCCTCCTCCTCCTCCTCCTCCTCCTCCTCCTCCTCCTCCTCCTCCTCATCATCATCATCATCATCATCATCATCATCCTCTTGCCCACTCTCCCTCCTCGTCCTCGTCCTCCGCCCTCTCTTGCTGCGCCCCGTCGGAGCCGACGACAAAAGACAGAGCACGACGCGCAGGTGCACGGCCTCGAGGCCGAGGTCGCCGCCGCGCGCGAGCTGCTGTCGCAGGCCCGCTCTCGGCGGCACGAGCCCCCCGCGGCGCTGGAGCCGGAGGAGACGGGCTGCGCGTGCCTGCCCGGAGCTCGGCGGAGGAAAAGGTGCTTGTGCAGCTCGAAGGCCCAGACGTCGCGAGGGACCGGTCACCCCTCCAGAGCGTGCGCGTCGTGCAGGTCTCATTCTTCGACACTTCGTCGGTTTTTTTGGGGGGCCAAGATCCTTTCATGCCTACTTGTTCTATCCTGGGCCTCTCTCCTGGCCACTCGGGGGCAAGGAACAGTTGGAAACGAGCACAGTCAGAAATGGGCACGATTGGAAAGGAACGACGTGTACCTGTGCATTTCGAAAGCCCAGATTTCGCGAGGTACTGGCCACCCCTCCAGAACGTACGCGCTGTTCAGCTCTAATTCTTCGACAGTTCGTCGTTTTTTTTTGGGTGGGCAAGATCCTTTCATGCCTACTTGTTCTATCCTGGGCCTCTCTCCTGGCCACTCGGGGGCAAGGAACAGTTGGAAACGAGCACAGTCAGAAATGGGCACGATTGGAAAGGAACGACGTGTACCTGTGCATTTCGAAAGCCCAGATTTCGCGAGGTACTGGCCACCCCTCCAGAACGTACGCGCTGTTCAGCTCTAATTCTTCGACAGTTCGTCGTTTTTTCTGGGTGGGCAAGATCCTTTCATTCCTACTTGTTCTATCCTGGGCCTCCTTCCTGGCCACCAGGGGGCCAGGAACAATCAGAAACGAGCACAATTAGAAATGAGCGCGATTAGGAAGGAACGACGTGTACCGGTGCAGTTCGAAAGCCCAGATTTCGCGAGGGACTGGTCACCCCTCCAGAACGTACGCGCTTGTTCTATCCTGGGCCTCTCTCCTGGCCACCAGGGGGCCAGGAACAATTAGAAACGACCACAGCAAGGAATGGGCACGATTCGAAAGGGACGACGTGCACCGGTGCAGCTCGAAAGCCGAAGGCCCAGATTTCGCGAGGGACTGGCCACCCCTCCAGAACGTGGGAGCAGCGCGGTATGCAAAGGCTCAGTGAAGGAACAAGCAGACACTCCTGCAAACAGACACTCCTGCAAACAGAAGACACTCCTGCAAACAGAAGGCAGACACTCCCACTCAGTGAAGGCAGACACTCCTGCAAACAGAAGACATGCACAACGAGCTTTCTGCAACACGTGTGCCCTCACCTGATGTCCTCCCCCCTCGGCATCTGTGGATTTCCGCAGGAGCCGTCAATTCGGCGAGTCTGCGCGGCGCCGGCGCGGAGCTTGCCCAGAGTCCCGGAGACGCGCTCACGCAGCTGCGGGAGGATCGCTCGCTGAGAGAGGTTGCCCAGTGCCCTTCGCGCTCCAACGACTCCGCGGGGCTGCTCGCCAAGGATCGGCGGCGAGCCCGAGTGGGAAATGCAGGGGGGGCGGGCCTGCGCAGATGGCTCGGAGGGCCTCCAGCCTTCTGGAAGGTGTGTGAAGCCAGAGGCGACAGCTAAGGGGAGGGGGGAGGGCTTCTTGGAAGCACCCCTGCTTCCTAGAAGGCGCGGGCCTGATCTGTAGATGTATGGCCGGCGCCTTCTAAGAAGCAGCCCTGCTTCTAAGAAGCCCTCCCCCCTCCCTCCACCCCCTTGTGTGCGCCGCCAAAGACGGCTTCTCAGAAGAAGGCTGGAGGGTCGCTGAGGATTCCCGCCGCCTTCTGAGAAGGCTTGCCCCCTTCCCCCCCCCCGGCTCGCCGCCGAAAGGAGGTTGCCGAGGATGCAGACAAGGACCTAAAGAAGCAGAGCTTTTCGCAATTCGACTCCGTCTCTAGCAACCTCAGCAGGTGGAGGATCGAGTCTGATAAGATCAAGGGGCTGGATCTGTTTATGGATAAGCTCAGCGACACCAATCACAGACTCGACGAGGGTCGAAGAAGCAGGTTGGCGCACAAGATAGTGAAGACCATCTACTTCGACACGTTGTCCTATGCTCTCATTATCGCCAACTCAATATTCATCGGCGCCAGCATGCAAAACCAGCTGACCCGTGCCATCGATGGTCGCGAAGGCGATAAGGCGTTCGTCGCCGTGGAGACGGCTTTCGTTGTCTGGTTCGCCGTGGAGCTGCTCCTGAAGCTCCTGGCGGAGGACGTCCAGGTGTTTCTGGGCCCCGACCGGCTGTGGAACCTGCTGGACCTGGTGCTGGTGGTCTCCGCGATTGGGCAGCTGGCAGCGGAGTCAGGATCGGCGGGGCACGCCCACGGTGTCAGTGTGAAGGAGCAGGCCTTCTCAGAAGGCCTCCTCCTCCCCCTCCCCCTCCCCCTCCCCCTCGGCGGGGCTTCTCATAAGCTTCCCCGCGTTCTGGCAATGCCCTGCGTCTCCGGAGAGGGCGCAGGAGACTTGGCGGAAGGCCCGAGGCTCTCGTGGAGCCCCCGGAGCAGGTCCGCCCTTGCTCGCCTGCCCCCTTCGGGCTCGCCGCCGACAGGAGCTCCGAACATCAGCGTCACCAGGAATGTGCGCCTCTTCAGGGTGGTTCGGATTCTGCGCGTCGTGCGCGTCGTTCGCGTATGCCAGAGTCTACGGGTCATGATATCCGGTCGCTCTGCCGCGCGATTCCCACACACCGCGCTCGGGCGGGCAGGGGGGGGGGGGGGCGCCTTGAGGGGGCGGCGGGGGGAGGGTCCGTGGAACATGGAACCCCCTTTCCCCAGGCTTTGTATCGAGGATGTTCCGTTCGCCTGGAAGGTGGAAGGCAAAAAACGCAGGGACTGGGCCACACAGGCGACCGCATCTTGGGCTCGATGCGTCGGGGGGCTTCGTTGTATTGCGCCGCAAAGGGCAAACGGGCCCGACGCACACCAGCAGCTGCAGGCGCGGTGGCGGATTTTCCATCTTGCGTTCGTTGGACGCGTTGTTCTGGGTTCTCGTTGTGCTTGCCTTCTTCATGTACATTTTCGCGATGGCATTCATGCACGCCGCAATCGAGCATTTTCGAGACAACAAGTCCACGTGGATTTCGACGTGTCTCGGGAATCAAGGTGCATGTTCGGACGACGCTGAGTGCGCTGGAAAGTGCGAACATCTCACCTGGCTGTCTGAAAACTTGGGCTCCCTCTATAAGACTATGTTGGTCCTCTTTCAGAGCATCACGGGTGGATGTGATTGGGCCGAAGTGTACGACGAATTGCATTTGATAGACAGCGTTCATGGGTACATCTTCGTCGTATTCATCTATCCGAAGGGTTTTCGCCTTCTGCCGCTAGCCCCCATGGGCGGAGCCATCGTGTGGCTGTGTTGGAGCAGCTTGGGGGCCATCGTGAGGCTTCCCGTGGGCATCTGAGGGCCCTTTGGGTTATCTCCAGGCCGTCTTAGATCTCGGGCACTTCCCTGGTTGTATACATGTACGTACGCGTTTACAAATTTATGATATGTATATAGATTGTGTGTGTGTGTGTGTGTGTGTGTGTGTGTGTGTGTGTGTGTGTGTGTGTGTGTGTGTGTGTGTGTGTGTGTGTGTGTGTGTGTGTGTGTGTGTGTGTGTGTGTGTGTGTGTGTGTGTGTGTGTGTGTGTGTGTGTGTGTGTGTGTGTGTGTGTGTGTGTGTGTGTGTGTGTGTGTGTGGGGGGGGGCGCCACCCTGGGTGATACATCTTACTTCTTATGTTGGTGTGTCTCTTCTCGTCTCTTCTCTTATCTTCTCTTCTCTTCTCTTCTCTTCTCTCTTCTCTCTCTCTCTCTCCCTCTCCATTGTCTCCTTATCCTCCTCCTTCTCCCCCCCTTCTCTCTCTCCCTGTCTCCCTCCTTTTCCATCTCCCCCTCCTCCTCCTCCTCCTCCTCCTCCCTCCTCCCTCCTCCCTCCTCCCTCCTCCCTCCTCCCTCCTCCCTCACTGGCTTGTCATGTGCAGGGCAGGTGTTTCTCATGTTTGCTTGCTTTTCCATGTGTTGTCCATGGTCTCGTCCTGGGGCTGGGGGCGGGCGCCACGGGAACGAAAGGGCACACAAACAGGGGGCAAACAATAACATGGAGAAACACCTGCCTTGCACATGAACGATAGGAAACAAACTTCAGCCTCCCATGGGAGTGAAGGAACACACGAAATGATTCAGAGGAGGCGAGAGGAGGAGGTGGAGGAGGAGGAGGAGTGGAAGAAGGAGAGAGAGAGAGAGAGGAGGAGATGGTGGAGGATCAGTGGATAAGGGATGCCGCCACAGAAGGAATCCTTCTCGTTATCACTATGGATCTGAATTTCGGTCTCAGTATCGTTCTCACTGTCCATCTCACTATCCGTCCCATTATCGATCTCACGACTGATCTCACCATCGTCTTCACAATCGGTCTCACTATTGATCCCACTACCGATTTCACGGGACACCATGTGACACCATGGGGCACCGCGGGACACTACGGGACACCATCGGGACACCATGGTGGGACACCGCGGGCCACCACGGGACACCCCGGGACAGCGCAGGACAGGACACCATGGGACACCGCGGGACACAGCGGGATACAATCAACACATCAGCATGAGACCATCGGGACATTAATCGAGACACCGCGTGACACCACGGGGCACCGCGGGACACCGCAGGACACCACGGGACACCGCGGGACACCACGTGACACTATGGGGACACCACGGCGGGACACCGCGGGACACCATCGACACACCACCATGACACCATGGGGGCACCAATCAAGACACCGCGGGACACCACTGGACACCGTTGGACACCACTGAACACCACGGGACAGCACTGGACACCATCGGGACACCAAGACACCACGGCGGGACACCCCCCTGGCACCCGCTCCATGCAGCCAGGGGGGGCTGTCCCCGCCGTGCTCTATCCAGAGGAGGGTTTATTCCTTTCGCCCGCCCACGCAGCTTCGCTTCGCCTGCACGCACGACACAAACCCGAAGCCGAGACAGATCTCCCGGTGGGGGGCTCCACGTTCCACTTCGATCTCATACCCCTCGCCCCCGACGAAGAACTATCGACGGATTGAGGCCCCTGGGGCCTGTCTCGAGGGCGTATTGGGGGCAATCTTGGGGCGCCTTGTTGGGCCATCTTGCACGGTTCGGGAGGCAGCTCTCTTCCTCATCTTTTTGCACTCCTCTCGAGGCACGCGTGTCGCCCTCCTGTGGGGGCCTTTTGGGAGCCTGCTCGGGGCCTCTTGGGGACATCTCGGGGGCGATCGGGGCCCTCTCGTGCTATCTTGGGGCCCTCTTGGGGCCCTCTTGGGCCCCTCGGGCCTCTTGAAACATACGACTAAGGACTGGGGACATCTAGGGGCCCTCTTGGGCCGTCTTCGGGCCGGGCCGCCTCGCGTGCTTCGTCGGCAATCTTGGGGTCCCTTTTTGTTGGAGCATCTTGGGCCGTCTTGGGGGCATCTTCGTCCATGTTGGAGCCTTCTCGGGGCTCTTTTAGAAGCCCTCTTGGGCCATCCTGGAGCATCCTGGGCCGTATTGGGGGCATCTTCGTCCATATTGGAGCCTTCTCGGGGCTCCTTTCGAGATCCTCTTGGGCCGTCGTGGAGGCACCTGGGGCTGTCTTGAGCTGCCGGAGGCCCGAAAAGGCGAGAACGCGAAAACCAGTCAGAAGCAACAGTCTTTCATTACGATGTTCCAACCTGCTTTAGCCTTGATCACGAAGAAGAATTTCGAGCCCCCCAAAAAGTACCAAAACTCAGTGGTTTTCGCGTGTCGGGCCCTGGGAGACACTCGTCCGACATTGTTTCGACACTGCTGCGACACAAGTACGACGGGAGCAACATAAGTCTATCAATGATTTTGGCCGCTGGAGGCCCCCTTGGGGTTCCTCTTGGCGGTCCTCGTGGGACGTCTTGGGGGCTTCTTTGGCCGTCTTGACGCCATATTGTGCTCACTGCGCTTGAGAGACTACCCACAAAACACACACAGAGCACCAGACGGCGCTCCGGCAGCACACCGCGCAGCTCCGCGCCCCCAGAAGGGGGCGTGGTGGACTTTATGGTGTTCTTGGTCTTGAATGTGGTGGTTGGCACTGTGGTTGCCGGCTGCACGTAAGCTCGACCCTTCTTGGCGGCGCGCAGAGGGGGGTGGGGGGAGGGGGGAAGGCTTCTTAGAAGCACCCCTGCTTCTTAGAAGGCGCGGGCCTTGTCTACAAGTGTAAGGCCGGCGCCTTCTAAGAAGCAGCCTCCTTCTAAGAAGCCTTCCCCCCTCCCCCCCACCCCCCTCTGCGCGCCGCCAACCTTCGCCGGAGTTGCCTCCGGTGCGCGGCTTCTGGGGGCCGCCGCGGGGCCGGGCCCGAGCACGCAGGCCGCTGCTGTCGCACCGCACGCAGCGGCCGGCAAGTCGCGCACCAAGGGTCTCTCGTTCGGGGGTGGACAGACCTCCTACCCTGACACGTCGTTTATTAAGGAATTGGCAGTTTTCGGTTCGCGAGAGGACGTCGCGGCCGTCATTTTTGCGGGTCCAGGTCCGTCCCAGGCCGTTTTCACTAAGGGGAGGTCTACTAAAGGGAGGTTTGTCCAGGGCCGGCTCGTGCCTGGGGAAGCTCTGGCGCGTCGCCGAGGTTGATGTCACATCGGGCGTATCCAGGCGAGACCGCGAGCGCTTGGTCAACGGGGAGATCAAGCAGCTGGAGGAGTACACCAAGGACATCAAGGAGTTCTTCGAGAGCGCCGACACGGACAAGTCGGGCCAGCTCTCGTTCGCGGAGTTCAGCAGGTATTTGCAAGACCCGAAGGTCATGGAACAAACGTCTAATATGTAGCACCCCGCAGTTGCGGCGGGCGCGGGGTGGGTCGCAGGTGGGTCGCGGGAGGGTCCAGGGTGAGTCGCGGGGTGGGTCGCGGGTGGGTCGCGGTGGGTCGTTGGTGGGTCGCGGATGGGTCGCGCGTGAGTCGTTGGTGGGTGGCGGGTGGGTCGCGGGTGGGTCGCGGGCTGGTCGCGGGTGGGTCGCGCGTTGGGTCGCGCGCGGATTGCGGGGTGGGTCGCGGGTGGGTCGCGCGTGGGTCGCGGGGTGGGTTGCGGGGTGGGTCGCGGGTGGGTCGCGGGGGGGGTCGCGGGTGGGTCGCGGGGTGGATCGCGTGTGGGTCGCGGGTGGGTCGCGGGCCGGGTCGTGGGCGGGACGAGAACAACAACAACAACAACAACAACAACAACAACAACAACAACAACAACAACAACAACAACAACAACAACAACAACAACAACAACAACAGCAACAGCAACAACAGCAACGACAACGACAACGACAACGACAACGACAACAACAACAATCATTTTAAGATTGTTCGCCCTTATCTGCTCGAGTGTCGAATAACGCGAATTTCCCAAACCCTCGATACCCGCCCTTTTCGTCTTCGATCGAACCCCTTTTGGGGGGTATACTTTTCTTCCCTGCAGGCCAGGCCCCGGCAAGCGACGGGGCGGCCGCGGACCGTCGGCCTTACCAGCGGCAGCGCTGATCGGCGGGGCGGCCGCGGACCGTCGACCCGACCCCAAGAGGGACGGACAGGGGACCGACCACGACGACGACGACGACGACGACGACGACGACGACGACAACGACGACGGCAACGACGGCGACGGCGACGACGACGACGAGCGAAAGCGAGAGCGAGAGAGAACGACAGCAGAGCCACGAAGGACACGAAGTAGGCCACGAAGGGCGACAGCGGGGACACGAAGGGAATGCGTATGGGGCCACGAAGAGCGCGAACGAGCGTGGGTCACGAAGGGCAGATAATGCGGGGCCACAGAAGGCGACGATGGGGCCACTGAGGGTAGCACCTGGGCCACGTAGGACAATGAAGGGGCCACAAACGGCGACAGCGGGGCCACGAAGGGCACGCACATGGGGCCACAACGGGCGCGAACGAGCGGGGGCCACGAAGGGCATACGTATGTTGGGCGGCGGAGGGTACGGACGGGGCCACTGAGGGCAGCAACGGGGACACGAAGGGCAGCGAGGGGGCCACGGAGGGCGACAGCGGGGCCACGAAAGGCATGCATATGGGGCCACCACGGGCGCGAACGAGCGGGGGCCACGAAGGGCATACACATATCGGTCCACGGAACAAAGCGAGGGGGCCACGAAGGGCTGCAACTCAGCCACGAAGGGCAGCGAGGGGGCCACGAAGGGCTGCAACGGGGCCACGAAGGGCTGCAACGGGGCCACGAAGGGCAGCGAGGGGGCCACGAAGGGCTGCAACGGGGCCACGAAACAAAGCGAGGGGGCCGCGAAGGGCTGCAACGGGGCCACGAAGGGCAACGAGGAGGCCACGAGGGGCTGCAACGGGGCCACGAAGGGCAGCGAGGGGGCCACGAAGGGCTGCAACGGGGCCACGAAACAAAGCGAGGGGGCCACGAAGGGCTGCAACGGGGCCACGAAGGGCAGCGAGATCCCGATTCCTAGGTAATCTGTGAAGGAGTGAGTCCTAAGCGTGAGCGCGACTCCTGGGTGCCTGGGTGTCGGGAGCGCGGCGCTGGAGTAAATTGCAAGAAATTCCAACGCAAGGGCGCTATTCTTCAGTAAATTGTAAGCGAGTCTCCAGCGAAAGCGCGACTCCAGAGCGCAGGAGGAACGATTCCTGAATAAATCGTAAGGAAGTCCCAAGCGAGAGCGCGATTTCTTGAACAAAATGCGAGGAAGTCTCGGGCGGGAGCTGAGGTCCTGGATAAATTGCGAGGAAGTCTCAGGCGGGAGCCGTTGTTGTTGTTGTTGTAACCCGGGGGCAAGGGGGCCAGTTTGAGCAGGAAGACTTTCTTTGACAAAAAACAAAGTGCGAGCCCTGGTGGGGCACTTCAATCGAAACAAAGCAATGTGCACCGGTGGGGGGATCAACGATAATTATTCTTGAAGAATAAGAGTTCAACGACGACGACGACGACGACGACGACGACGACGACGGCAACTACAACAGCAACGCCAGCATCAACAACAACAACAACAACAACAACAACAACAACAGCAACATCAACACCAACATCAACACCAACAGCAACAACGACAACATCATAATAACATCAACACGATCGACAACAACAGCAACAACAGCACCAACACCACCAACAGCAATGATATGTTTCAGACTGCTCGTTCTTACCTGCTCGCGTGCCCTTCTTTCACGCGTATATCCCAAGCCTTTGATACCCGCCCTCCCCCTCTTCGACCGTACACCCCCCAGGGCCACATCTTCCATACCTGCAGCCTGTAATTGGTGCAGCGCCTGAAACATAGGGAAGAGAGGACGACTTGAAGGGGGAAGGAAGGGGAACGGGATGAGGGCGCGAACGAGCGGGGGCCACGAAAAGTATGCGCATATGGGGCCACAGGGGGCGACAGAGGGACCACGATGGGCAGCAATGGGGCCACGAAAGGCAGCGAGGGGGCCACGAAGGGCGACAGCGGGGCCACGAATGGCATACATATGGAGCCACGACGGGCGTGAGCGAGTGGGGGCCATGAAGAGCATATAATGCGGGGCATTGAAGAGCATACGTATGGACCGCAGAGCGCAAGGACGGGGCACAGAGGGCAGCAACGGGGCCACGAATGGCAACAAGCGGGCCACGAAGGGCGACAGCGGGGCCACGAAGGGCATGCATATGGGGCCACGACGGGCGCGAACGAGCGGGAGCCACGAAGAGCATACATTTATGGGGCCACGAAGGGCGACAGCGGGGCCACGAATGGCACCGAGGGGGCCACGAAGGGCGACAATGGGGCCACGAAGGGCATGCATCTGGGGCCACGACTGGCGCGAACGAGCGGGGGCCACGAAGAGCATCTAGTGCGGGGCCACAGCGGGCAGCGACGGGGCCACTGAGGGCAGCAGCGAGGCCACGGAGTGCGCGGGCGAAGGCGGCCGCGGAGCCACTGCGGGCAGCGATGGGCATCGAGAGCGGGCGAAGGGCAGCGAGACGCGACCGCAGTCCCCGACGGGTGGGTCGGGCGGGCGGGCCCCGACGGGCGGGTCGAGCCCCGACGGGTCGCGGAAGCGCGAAGTTTGTGCGAATCGCAGAGGAGTCTTCGAGCAAGAGCGCAGCCCCCAAGGAAGTCTTGGAAGAAGTCCAAGGGGAAAGCGCGAGTCCTGCGCGTCGATGGGGGCGGCATCTGAGCTGATGTGCGAGGGAGTTTCGGGCGAGAGCGCGGGTCTACGCAGATCGCAGGGGGATCTCGGGCGAGGGCCCGCTTTCTCAATAAACCGTGAAGGGGGTAGCAGGCGGGAGCCGTTGTTGTTACAGTTCGGGGGGGGCCCGCCACCCACGCTGAGGAGCGGCATCTGAACCGAGTGCGAAGAAGTCTCAAGCCAACAACTGCAGCAGCACCACCACCACCAACAACAGCAACAGCAACACCTACAACAACAACAACAACAACAATCATTTTACCCGAACGCTCAGTGTTCTCCCCAGTGCCAGGGTTTTCATGCGACACCAGCCAATACCCCCACTTCGTGGGGGGGCCGTTCAAGCTCTACCAAATATCCAAACGACTCTTCGAGACCACCCACACCCAGCTTCCCGCCCTATGACGTTGGGACACTTCACTTCGTGGCGTGCGGACGACCCTGGCTACTACACTGGCGTGGGGTACACACCCACAGAGGTTGATCACATCTGTTACATATGATGTGGTACACGGTACACGTGAGATGGTACGCAGTGCCAAGATAGTTGGTCACATTTTTGGGGCAAATTCGTGGGGATGCGATTACAGAAGTACATGTGTTACACTGATGTTATACAGTCCCAAGGATGACGCATGCATTGCTCATAGACTCATGGCGCTATGATCCTAACTCTCAGTGCCCGACGCGCCGTCAAAGCCATGATCCAAGAACACAGGCGATACCTTGATCCGAGATGGCTACGGATATGTGCGTCAGCAGTCGGGGGCCTTCCTGGGGCCGCTTGGGGTCCTCTTGGGGAAGGGGGGAAGCCTCCTGGCGCGGTTTGGGGTCCACTTGAGAGCCTTTGGGGGGCTCCTTGGAACCATCTTGGGGCCTCTTGGGGGCTTATTGGACCCTCACGGCGGACTCTTGGGGCCTCTAGAACGCCTCCTGGGGCCATCTTGGGGGTCTCTTGGAGCCACCTTGGAGCCTCTCTGGAACCTCTTGGGGGCCTCTTGGAGTCCTCTTGAAGCCTCTTGGGACCATCTTGGGCGCCTCTTTGGGCCTCATGGACGCCTCTTGGGGCCATCTTGCGCGCCTGTTGGGGCCATCTTGGGTTTTAAAGATTCATCAAGAGACCGCGAATGGATTTCGAGATTTTTCGGATGAGAAAGTAGTGCGTTTTCATATGTTTTCTGAACATCGCATCTTGAAATTATTGAAAACCCATTGTGTTTGGCAGGATTTCGACATGCGCGCGCGGCGGCCGCGCGCATGTGCACTTCGTCTCATTTTTTGCAAGGGATGGTGGCCCTCGCAGGCGCGCAACCGTTGTTGGAGAAGTTCAAAGCACCTGAAGAAGTAGCACGCAAAGACCCTTTTGACAGAAATGTTTAAAAAGTGGTGTGTTTCCTATGAATCCGCAAGAGCGCGCGGAAGGACATTTTGACAATTTTTTCTTAAAAAACCATTGGGTTTTTGATGTTTTTATGTTAAAATCGCTACGAAACCTAAGGTTTTGGAAGGATTTCGTCTTGCGAGCGCGAATGTCCACTTTACCTTATTTTTTGCAAGGGATTCTTGAAATTTGATCAACTAAGAACAAGAATTTTCATTTTCTATTGTTTTTTGCAAGGGAAAACGAGCGTCAACAAAAAACCGGATCCGGGGGTAATCCACTTTTCTGAAGCTTTCGCAGAAAAATGATGAAAATGTAGCTGCGGCCTAGGTTTTGGGCGGGGGGCGTGCACCAGGGGGTCCAACAATAATAATTCTTTAGAAGAAGTAATAGTGTTCAACAACAACAACAACAACAACAATTACTAGCACGTGGGGACACTCCGTTCTCACCAGTGCCAGGGTTTTCATAGGAGGCGGGCAATACCCCCACTTTGTGGGGGGGCCGGTTCAAGCTCTACCAAATTTCCAAACGACTCTTCGCCACCACCCACACCCAGCTTCCCGCCCTATGACGTTCGGACACTTCACTTCGTGGCATGCGGACGACCGTGGCTACTATTCAGGGCCCCGCGGCCGACGACGACGGCGTGCGCGCGCGAAGAAAAAACGAATGTGTCCCGCATGGTATTATTTGACAGGGATGATGGCCCTGGCAGGTGCGCAACCGTTGTTGCAGAAGTTCGAAAAAGTTGCTCGCAAAAGCCCGTTTGACAGACATGTTTAAAAAGTGTTGGGTTTCCTACGAATCCGCAAGAGCGCGCGGGATGAAATTTTGACATTTTTTTATATAAAAAAAAACATTGGCTTTTTGATGTTTTTATGTTAAAATCGCTACGAAAACTAAGGTTTTGGAAGGATTTCGTCTTGCGCGCGCGAATGTCCACTTTACTTTAGTTTTTTGCAAGGGATTCTTGAAGTTTGGTTATGTTAGAACACGACATGTCATTTTATATTGTTTTTTGACAGGGAAAGCGGGCGTCAACAAAACAACCGGATCCGGACTCCCCCGTTTTGCCTGGGACTTCCTTACGAAAATTATGAAAATGTGGCTGCGGCCTAGGCGCGGCGAGGGGGGCGTGCACCAGGGGGCCCAACAATAATTATTCTTTAGAAGTAATAATATTCAACAACAACAACAACACCTACAACAAGAACAACAACAAGAGGAACAACAACAACAACAACAACAACAGCAACAACAACAACGACAACAACAGCAACAGCAACAACAACAACAACAGCACCACCACCACCACCACCACCAACAACAACAACAACAACCATCAGTTTAAGACTACTTGTTCTTATCTGCTTGCGTGCCGTTCAGCACGTAGATCCCAAACCCTCGATACCCGCCCTCTTCGTCTTCGGCCGTACCCCCTTAGGCGTATGTCTTTCTCACCTGCAACGTGTATTTCGTGCAACCCCTCAGGCAGGGGAACAGAGGACGGATGGAAGGAAAAAACAAAGGGGGAGGGAGGGAGAAGGATGGAGCACGAGAGACAATAGCAGAAGAGCGGGGTAGGAGCGCCCATGGCAGAACCAGACGGACATATCGGGCGGTTAGGCCATAACGGCCGGGTCGGGAAGGCGTGCCCAGGCGGCCATGTCGAGCAGGCGGGTTGCTGAAGCGTGCGTCTTGCAGGGATCGCGAGGAAGTCTCTAGCGATAGCGCGACTCCCAAGTAAATTGTTCGAGGAAAGCTGAAGCGAGAGCGTGATTCCTGAGTGTCGAGGGCGCGGCGTCGGAATAGATTGCGAGGAAGTCCCACGCGAGAGCGCGATTCCTATATAACTTGTGGAGATGTCCCGCGCGAGAGCGCGATTCCTATATAACTTGTGAGGATGTCCCGCGCGAGAGCGAGATTTCGGAATTTATTGGGAGGAAGCATTCGGCGGGGGCCGCTGTTGTTGTAAACTGGGGGCCAGGGGCACAGTTTGGTGGCACCCCACTTTTCCTGGTAAAACACAGGGTGCGAGCCCCGAGAGAAGTTTCTTAATTAACAAATGCAAGCAAGAATGGTTCTGTAGAAGTGAAAACTCAACAACCACAACAAGAGCAGCAGCACCTGCAACAACAACAACAACAAAACCCAACAACAGCAAAACCCAACAACAACAACAACAACAACAACAACAACAGCAACAACAACAGCAGCAGCAACAACAACCAACACCAACAACAACAACAACAACAACAACAACAACACCACCACCACCAACAACAACAACAACAACAACGACAACGACAACGACAACGACAACAACAACAACAACAACAACAACAACAACAACAACAACATGGACACGAACAACAAACACAACAACAACAGCAACAACAACAGTAATAACAACAGTAGCAGCAACAACAACAGCAATTCAAACATAACAACACCAACACCACCACCACCATCAACAGCAACAATCCGCACCGCCGAAGCCCGCTTCAGCCACGCACCCAGGGACGGTGAATGACCGCTCGGCCCCCTTACTCCGTCATAGACATAAGCGTTCGGCGGTCCACGCGGACTTCTGGGGTCGGCGCTGGACCCCCCTCCCGGCGAGAGACGCGCCGCCAGGGGGGGGGGGGAGCCGGGAGCCCATCGCCCGCCGACCCAGGAAGTCCGCGCTGACCTCCGAATATGCATATCTATCGCGTTTTGCGGGTGCCCTGGAAGGTCAAGGCCTACTTCCAGACGCTGGACCTGGACACCAGGCAGGCAGACGTGCTTTTCACCCTGCTCGACCACAACGAGAGCGGCGAGGTGGGCATCGGCGAGTTCCTGGACGGCTGCCTGCGCCTCAAGGGCGAGGCCCGGAACCTCGACATCAACCTGATCATCTACAAGCTGGAGCACATCATGAAGGGGACGAGGCTCGGAGGATCAGGGGGCCACGTGCGAACCCTACCCCTACCCCCCACGATTTCTGAGGGGCAGGGTGGGGTTCACTGCGCTCGGGAACTCCCGAGCGCAGTGAACCCCACCCCCCCCTCAGAAATCGTGGGGGGTAGGGGTAGGGTTCGCACGTAGTCCCCTAAGGATGCCGCCCGCCGCTCTCTCTGATCTCCGCCTCCTGGCCGCCCTGGGGGGCCCCCCCCCCGCCCCGCGGCTGGATCCGCCTCGGGATGCTGGCCAGAGCGCGCGCCGGGAGAGGCCCCCAGGGGCCCGCGTCCTCCTCCTCCTCCTCCTCCTCCTCCTCCTCCTCCTCCGCCTCCTCCTCCTCCTCCTCCGCCTCCTCCCTCCTCCCTCCTCCCTCCTCCTTCCTCCCTCCTCCCTCCTCGGCTTCCCGATGCTCCCAGAGCTCCGTCGGCGCGATGCCTTCGCAGCGTGGACGACGCCTGGAGGCCCAGACCCCCTCCTCTGGGCCGGTTCTCTGCATCCCGGGTCGTTCGGCGACCCTCCCATATGGGGGCCCGCGCGGAGGGCCCGAAGGGGGGCCGTGAGCGGCCAAGGAGCCTCC